TCCAAAGCTAATATTTGGTTCTAAATAAATGCTTAAATTACGCAAGTTATACAAATTAAATAAAAGACGTGAAATATTTTAAATAATTTTTTTATTAAAATAAATAAATAAATAATAATCAATCATTTGTTTTTATAGTTTTTTGTAAAAATCACGTAATAATTTATCTCCAAAAAAACTATAAAATAAAGGATAATTATTTATTTATTTAATTAAAAAAAATTAATTACAATATTTTATCTCTTTTCTTTGTATAAAACTTGAATTATTTTGTTCATATTTACAATCAAATATCAGTTTTTGACAAAAAATATATTGAATCAATGATCGCAACAAACATATTAGATATCTAGTTTCACAAGATCAGAGAATTGGTTGCTGGCAAGGAAATCAATATCAAATATTGTTCATCTGAGTGTCAAGTGGCAGACATTTTCACCAAACCTTTGAATCAATGTTAGTACGTTAAATCAAGTCAAATAATGCCTTTGAATCAAAATAATGTTTATTAGTAGTGGGTTTGTAGAAAAGTCTTTGGCTTATTTTTAGGGATTATCTGTAACATCCTTTGATATATACATTCTAAAAATGCTAATATAATTGTTACTGATTATAAAACAAAAATTGGTCTAACTTAGAATATTTTACCATGTTAGATACTGAAAATTTTCACACAATTCAATTCATGTTAGACACTTTTCACCTATAATATTAGCCATTACCAAAATGTCTTAATTGTATTTGCTTCATTCTTTTTTGTTGTATTAAGTTACTAATTGCTAATTGAAATTAATTTTGTAGGAACATTCTAATTTATCTTCTATTATCGACACGCTTCAAAGAAATTCACACCATTTATCAACAACGGCCCTTAAAAAGGCATGGAAAATATGTTTTAGACTTCTTCAATGCAGCAACAACTTAAATTGCTACATATTGGAAATGCATGAGGTATGTACACAACATCATATAATATGCAAAAGGTTAATTTTCTAATCATGTTTCAATAGGTTGATTCACGAATAGTTACAAGATATAAATCTAAAGTACATGAAAAGGTTGGTTCAATAGGGCGAGCGTATTACGACGATGCCTATGGCTCAAGTTTTTAACCAAACCCACATCCATCCAAGGAGTGGGCTTCCACTACGTAAACGACTGGGAAATTGGGTAGTAGAGCAGAGGAAGTATACCTATTCTGTACGGAGTGATAAGGTTCCTATCTTACTAAACATTCTTTTTTACATAATTAAAAAAATAAATATCATACATAATAGCTAGCCTGATTTTTTTACTTAGTTACAAATATTACAATATTACATCCACTCTGGTCTGGCAAGGAAGTTTAAATCCCTAAAAGAAGTGGCAACATTTATTTATTTGACTGCTTTATTGAAGATTTGAAGGTCACATTAGGTAAACCGTAAATAAGTCTATATAGTTTGGATGTATCTTTAATTTTATTTCATGTTGTAATACTTCTTTTAGAGTCTGTTTTGTAAAGATTATGATCTATATAGGTTGGAGGTTTTGGACTTACTAGTGCCTTAATTTGTTTCATCAATGATTATGAAAGGCGTAGGAAATTTAAACTTTGGAAGAATTTATCAGCAATAATGGTGGAGGTGCGAGGAATCGTACCCTTTGCCTCTCGCATGCGAAGCGAGTGTTCTACCATATGACCTATATTGCCTGTTTGCATTTCTATTCAGGCCATATTTACTATGTGAAGGTGATGATTCCAAGTTGTAGAACCTTGTTGAAATCAATAGCAGATCTTTTAAAATGTGTGGAGGTTTGAGTGATTATTGATTTGGATTCAAACATCTTACTCTTTACATTGCAAATTAGAAGCTTATGTATCAGTAGCGATTTAGTTCAGTTCTTTGTAGTGAATCAAAAGTGAATAACCTGAATCAATTAATGGGAACAATAAATTATGTTTTCTTAGCTTATGTGCAAATATTTCTGGAAATATTGATAATGTATATGAACGGGTTTACTCTATCGGTGTCAAAATGACCAGTCACACGGTCAATCAAATATTTCACCTACTCCGTGATCATAATTTACTGTAATACAGGAAAAGGGATCGTCTCCACAGAAATTGTGTGATTCACTCTTTCGTGTTCTAATATTGTAAATAAAAGAGGGGAATTTTCTTTTATTATCTAATGAAGATAAAATAACAAAAAAATTAAATTAACCGAGAACTAGCTATTAAGGGGATATTTGACCGGTCGTACGGTCAATCAAATATTTCACCTACTTTGTGATCACAATTTAATGTAGTACAGGGGAAGAGATCGTCTCCACAGGGATTGTGTGATTCATTCTTCTGCGTTCTAATACAGTAAATAAAGGGGGGATTTTCTAGTATTATTTGATGAGGATAAAGTAACCAAGCAATTAAATTAATGGAGAACTAGCAATTAAGAGGTTGGTTTACTCAAGGGATGATGCAGTTATGCCACTTGTCTTTCATCATTAACTCAATGAAGTTAGTTCTTATTAAATTATCAATAAATTGGTTATAGTTATCAAGAAGCTCTGACAAGCAATTTTTTGTTACAGTGTAGGTAATTAAGGTACGAGCATCAACTACCACTAATTAAGCTAATAAACTTAGGTATGCCCATAGGAAATATTGCCTAATTGCATTCTATTTTAGAAAAACCCAATTCAAAGTAATTATTACCTAAGAGAAACAATTAGAATTGATTGCCTAACCCTTGGGAAGGGACTGTTCAACCCAGTTATCACTTATTCAAGTGCGAATACAATTACGGATATCCTACCTGAATTGACTTCAGATTCTCAGACTAATTTAAATATTGGTACAAAAATATCCAATCGATCTAACAATCACAAAAACTACTATCAGAATCAGACAAATAGTGATAATAAAAAGAACTTTTATAAAGAATGTCAAGAATCTCCAAAACACAAGGACTAAAACATTATCATCCCTCAAACCAGAAAAATATCTACTCCATAATCAAATAACAAAGAACAATAAGGAAAGATAAAGTCATAGTCGAAAGGGAAATTCTCTGTTGATTTGCTCATGCGCGATCCATGAGTCTATTAGTCTCGTGCTTCTGTGTGTGCCTGTTTCTGGCCGTTCTCCCCTTTGCGTGTGACTTCCCCTTCTTTTTACTTAATTAAATTCTCATGTTAGCAGGATGTTGTTTGTCATGGTCATGACTAACTTGATTGTCCAATGCTGAATTTTTTTCTTTTATTTTCCTCCAAATTCACCAAATTTGCTTTTTCTATTCTACGTGTCGGAAATAAACAATACGCACAGAAATTAGGTAGAATCCAATCAACATCAATCAAATATTGCATATGATATAAACATAAAACGCATGTGATTTTGAGCTATCAATTCTCCCCACATCTAGATCATGCTTGCCCATAAGCATAGATTTGAAATAAGCCAAAGAAATCGCAGACGACTCAATATGACAAGAGGATTCAACACAACCAATTCAATCCGAAATTCAACACGTCAAGCCAAGTCGACCTCACAAGATAAAGTGTATACGTATATGCTCTCTGAAGGAATAAGTACAATTGGTTCAACACTCAGGTACTGGAACAAAAGATTATCCTATAGGCTTGAGTAAAAATCTAATCTCATTTACTTAAAGATATTAGAATCTAACATGAAGAATCAGAGGGACATTCAATAACGGTTGTAGCATGGCTTATGGACAGAAATAGGGAAATGGATATACAAAGGCTAAAATATGCAAGAAAAACAAATCGGCAAAAACACTAAAACCCTTACTTTATTTACTACCCAGACTTTAATAACGTAATTATATAAAAATACTTCATCAAGATGATTATTTTTATCTTTTTCTCTCTTTTCTCTTTTCCAATTTTTTTTTTTTTTTGGCTTTTGCCTTTATATAAAGATAACTTCACTACCCATGGTCCTTCCTGCATACTATGTCTTATTCATACCCAAATTTTGTTTCTAACTAGTGTCGAAAAAATAAAGTGCATCACAACATAAAATTAAAGTAATTCTTTCTAACATAGGATTCAAATCGGAGAAGGCTAGATAAAAAGAGGAGTATGAGGCTAAAAGACGGTTTATTAAAGAAGAAAAATATGCTAAAAAGGCTCAAATGTGCTAATTACGGAAAAATTATTGGCTAGGTGATAACGAAAGGCTTAATTAGGTTACTTAATGCCCTTATCATTTCCAAGATGCAAGACTCGATAGTTGCACGTTCAACATGCATAATCACTAAGTTCCAGGTCATCTAATATAGCACTACAAATCACACATGAAAGAAATTCCAAAAGCATGAATATTAAGTTTATTTTCAAATGTAACTTTTGGAACATAGGCTCAAATCTCATAGGGTTCAAACATCGACTCAATTCAACATATGACCAATCAAATTTCATTAATCACGCTAGACAAACCTATCACACAAAACAAATTTTACTTACTTCAGACTAATCTAAAAAACATGTAAAAAGACAGCAAATCAGGTATAAAAAGTAGCACAAAATGAAAAATTTCCCCAAAAATTTGCATAACTCTCCCCACACCTAAATTATGCATTGTCGTCAATAAAAGAAAGAAAAAATGAAAATAGAAGAAAGAGATATGAAGTATGATGCTTCTCTAGTTTGAGGAGCCGACGTTAATCCGTGCGGGGAATGAGTGACTGGATCATTAGCTTTAGCTCAGAGACGGTTGTAGTCACTTCAATGTGAAACGCGGCATTCTTAGCTCGAAGGGCTGAAATTTCAATTTCTTGGTGTTCGAGTGCAGGTCGCAAGTGATCAAATCGCATCTAGGAGCCTTGAGGGGAGGATATGGCTGGATTGGAATCAGAGACAGGGAGGCCTGGAGAAGCTTGAGATCTGCGGATTGGTGTGGCAACAAAAAACGAAGTCCCGTTGGAGTTTTAACCAATTTCATTGCCTTGAGATAGGGAATATCCAGAGGCGTCATCGAGCAGGCTCTGTTAAAAGAATAAAAAAGTAAGATATTCAATAGAAACATCAGAAATAAGACCAAGGTTAAGGGCGAGGTGTGTGATGTAAAACCCGTGAATGAGGTTGCCGCCTTTAGTAGAAAGCACACGATTAAATCTATCGGCCAACAAAAAAGGAAGGTTAATTTGGATGCCGGGAGTCATGCCCATAACATATGCAATTCAACCTTACACTTGCACCATTCTTTCTACCAGATAAATAGTAGGCAATGAATTTATGCGTGAGTCGTAAAGCAGGAAGTTTGATACATGACGAATGAGCATCGCGTGGATGAAACTGGGAGGAGTTACCACTAATTTCTTGCCAAAAGTCATAGAACTCACTAGCAAATGGTTCAGCATAATCACATAAACTACTGGAGTAATCGGCACTTTGAGAATCTAGTTTAGACACAACTCCTAATGCTATACCATATTCAGTTATAGAATGATGAAAACTTTTCCCCATTAACCAAAAATGGATGACATCAGATAAAAAGATCAAACATATCAAACAAAGTGAATTGGAATGTAGAAAAGAACTCATAGACTAACTCAGTGATTGCTGGTAAATGGAAAGTAGCAAACAAGGTCCAACCAACATTGGAAACATATGTGTTAACCTAAGTGGTGACCTGGAGGTAATCTAAGGTCGGTATGTGAAAGAATTTACAAGTAATGATTTTTCGACCTGCTTCCAAGCATTGATCATAACACTGGCGGTGCTGGGGGTCAGGAAAATCCAAATTACCTCCAACAACTGAAGTGGAGGCGAGTTGAGTAGCAGTGCGACGCGCACGATGATCAGTGGAAGAGGTGCCACCCACGGGAATACGTGGCACGGCAAAAGGTGGACTGATGGTTGTCTGCGTTTCTTCTTCGTAATTCCTTCTGATTGAGTAGTCTTGATGGAGCTTGTGGTAAGAACTCGAAATTTACCCATGAAATCTACAAAATGAAATAGCCGGCCACACAGTAGACTACAACCAGACCAAAGAAATATCTAAACACCCAAATTCGACAACTATCCAGATGTATCACTTAGAAAATATCAGTTTCATAGCTTCAAGAACATAGGTCTAATAATCTATCCAAAAAGAAAAAAATCGGAACAAAGATTTTACAAACTAAGTCTAATACCTCAATATTACCATCATGTAAGGAAAATTTGACGCCAAGATCAAACCAAATTCCTAGATATTAAAGACTGAAATTCGACAATGGGAATTGTAATGAGCAGTTTAAGTAATCACCCAATTCTCAATATAGAATCCCAAAATTGACAGTAGTAGGAATGTGGAATGAAGAGATACCACCGAGCCAGAGGGGTGAAGAGATATTAGCGCGGGCGGTCGCAGTTTGGCTTGGGTAAACCGGTTTGGCGGTGGCATAGCAGGGGCAAGGTGAAGAATCACGGCGTTGGAAGCTTGTCGTAGTTCGGTTTGGTCGAACCGGTTTGGCAGGAGGGCGACACGGAGGAGAACCGGTTTGGTGGTGGCACAGCAAGGGCGAGGTGGAGAATCACGGCGTCGGAAGCTTGTCGCGGTTGATGCGGTGGAAAACGGGTTCAGCTTGGGTGAACCGGTTCGGCGGTGGTTGGAATTGCGGCAGAGCAATCTGGGTTGGATCGGCGGAGGTCGGCGCGGCGGAGAATCACAGTCGCGGTTTGGTTTGGTTGACCCAGTTTGGCGGTGGTGCCGCATGACGATCTGGGAGATCGTGGTGGAAGGCAGGGGAGGGCGATCATCGAATGGAAAAGAATAAGAAGAATGGAGGAAGACAGGAAGAGAGAAGAAAAGGGTAGGCCGGAGAGGCCCGTCAGGCGGTGTTCGGCGAAGAAGGAGAAAAAGAGATAAGTGGTGTGGTGGAAGGAAGAGTGGGAGACACCGGTTGGGTTTGGATTTTGGAAATTTTAAATTTATTTTGGGATTTAGGGTTAGAATTGGATAGGGTTAGAAGGGAGAAGGCAGACAGTGTGACAGGGGGTGTTTAGTCGTCTCTTATTCTGGAAAATAGATGGGTAAAGGAAGGTTGGATGAAAAAAAAAATAGTATATGAGGTATCAATTAGTCATGACCATGACTAAAAGTCACCTCTTAGCCTGATTTTTTTCGGAAATCAAGAAAATTGATAGTGCTTTCGCCAAGAGCCAGTAATTATTTTCTAAAAGACATGCACAAAATAAAAAATAAAATAATCAAAAGTATTATTAGCATTAAAACAATAAAAAAACAGGAAAAAAATTAAAAGAAAACATTTAAATGGTTTGTGTTGTCCCAGAAACTGCTTTTTGTTTATAGTCTTTTAGCTAGACTTCTTTGCATCTTAGTTCTCAACTTCAGCACCGGCAAGAGATACCAACTCTACAAATTCAAGTGGGAATCCCTCGTAATATGACTTAAGCCGATGTCCATTGCCCACAAATATTTTCTCCATCTTTAAACTATGAATCTCCACTACACCATAAGGGAAAAGTTTAGTAACAATAATGGCCTTATCCACCTAGAGCACAATTTTCCAGGGAAAATCTTGAGACGAGAATGATATAACAAGACTTTCTGTCCAATTTCCAAATTTTTTCTAGAGATATGATGATTATGGAAGGCTTTTGTCTTTTCCTTGTAGTCACATTCTCGTACGCCTCTTGTCGAATCTTCTCTAACTCTTGAATTTGAATTTTTCGATGGACTCCGGCTTCTCCAAATGCCTTGTGTTGAATTTCCACAGGTAAATGGCAAGGCTTTCCATACTCCAATCAAAATTGTGACATCTCTATTGGTGTCTTGTATGTTGTTCGGTATGCCCACATAGCATCATCGAGTCTCTAGCTCCAATCTTTTCTGTTGGATTGAACTATTTTCTCCAAGATAGACTTCACCTCACGATTGGAGATTTCTACTTGCCCATTCGTTTGAAGATGGTACAAAGTTGACACCTTATGAAGTACACCATATTTCATAAAGAGTGCAACCATGGTTTTATTACAAAAGTGAGTTCCATTGTCAATCACAATTGCTTTCAACATTCCAAATCAAGAGAAGATACTGGACTCAATGAATTTTGCAGCCACCTTAGAATCATTAGTTCGGGTGGCTCTTGCTTCCAACCATTTTGAAACATAATTAACGGAAAAAACAATATACAAGCACCTATATGAATTAGGAAAAGGTCTCATAAAATCTATACCGTAAATATCAAATATTTCAACAGACATCATAGGCTATTGAGGCATTTGATTATGGGAAGAAAGGTTACCTGTTCGTTGACATCTATCACAAGACTTACAGAACTCAAATGCATCATTGAAAAGAGTAGGCCAGTAAAGTCCACTCCGTAACACCTTTCTAGCTGTCTTTTGGATCCAAAGTGTCCACAACATGCCATAGAATAAAAAAAAGGTCAAAATAGAGTGAAATTCACCTTCATTAATGCGTCTTCGAATGATTTGATCAAGAGATCACTTCCAAAGGTAGGGGTCATCCCAAATATAGTATTTCGCATCGTTTCGGAGCTTATCCCTTTCCGCCTTTGCTAACCTGTAGGAAACTTGTTAGTGACTAAGTAACTAGCAATAACAGGATACCAACGGTATGTAGTTGCAATGGAGAGAAGTTGTTTGTTAGGAAGAGACTCTCGAACAGGAATTGGATCTGACTTCACAGGTATGCGACTCATGTGATCAGGCACTAAATTTTTAGTTCATTTCTTGTCACAAATTTCTATGTTGAACTCTTGCAGAAGGAGCACCCATCGAATTAATCGAGATTTGGCCTCGTTTTTTAATATAAAGTAGCGTAGAGCTGTATCATCAAAGTAAACAAGCACTTTAGTGCCTAGAAGATAGATCTAAATTTATCAAGAGCAAAAGCAACAGCAAACATCTCTTTCTCTGCGGTAGAGAAATTTAATTGAGCACCATTCAATGCTCATGAAGCATAGTAAATGACATGAGAAGCTTTTCCAACTCGTTGCCCTAGAACAGCTCCCATTGTAGTATTGCTTGCATCACACATCAGCTCGAATGGCAAGTCCCAATTCGGAGGTTGAGTAATTTGTGAGGTTGTGAGACGCTCTTTCAATGCCTCAAATGCCTTCTTGCAATCATCATTGAAATCATATGCTACATCTCTTTGTAGGAGGTGAAACAATGGTGCTCTGATCTTGGAGAAGTCCTTGATGAAGCATTGGTAAAAACCTATCTTGGAGAAGTCCTTGATGAAGCATCGGTAAAAACCTGCATGTCCTAAAAAACCGCATAGCTCTTACATAGAACTAGGGTAAGGTAAAGCAGTGATTAGTTCAACTTTAGATTTATCTAATTCTATACCCTCATGTGACACCTTATGGTCTAAAATAATTCCTTGTTGAACCATTAGTTGACAGTTCTCCCAATTAAGAACAAGGTTAGTTTCAATGCATCGTTCAGGATTAGAGTAAAATTACCTAGACAGTCATCAAAACTAGATCCATATACGCTAAAGTCATCCATAAATACTTCAATGATTTGCTTAATATACCCAGAGAAAATACTTACCATACATCTTTGGAATGTAGCAGGGGCGTTACACAAACCAAATGACATCCTTCTGTAGGCGGAAACTCAAAATGGGCAGGTGAATGATGTTTTCTCTTGGTCCTCGGGTGCTATCGCTATCTGAAAGTAACCTAAAAATCCATCTAAAAAGTATAATATGCGCGACCAACCAGTCTTTCGATCATTTGATCAATATAAGGGAGAGGAAAATGATACTTTTGTGTTACCGCATTGAGCTTACGGTAATATATGCACTAGTGCCATCCAGTTTGCTTTCAAACATGGAGCTTTTCTCCTTCTCAAGTCTCTTCCACCATTACTCCAGCCTTCTTGGGAACTACTTGAACTGGATTCACCCATCTACTATCGGAGATGGAGTAGATGATACTCGCCTCAAGTAATTTCAACACTTCTTTCTTGACTACCTCAGTCATAATCGGGTTTAACTTTCTTTGAGCTTGTCTCACCGGTTTGGAATCCTCCTCAAGTGCCATCTTGTGTGTACAGAATGAGGGATCAATATCTTTTATGTCAGCGATTGTGCATCCGATGGCGGTCTTTTAATCTTTTAAAACCTCTATCAGTTTCTCTTCTTGTTTTGGTGTCAATTTCGAGGAGATGATCACCGATAGAGTATTTTTCTCTCCCAAGTAAGCATACTTTGGAGTCTCAGATAGAAGCTTCAATTCCAATTTTGATGCCTGCATCAAAGATGGTAATAATCACTGATTAGATTCATGTAAGAATATTTGAGCCAATTCATACATTGGTGACTCTCTCGGAATTGAGTTAAGCTCCTTGAGAAGTTTTCTTATTCTCTTGTCTATGGCTTTCTCTCTCATAGGCTCTTCCTCCAGATGTTCCACCAACACAATTTTCAATTTTTCATAACCACTTAATTTCAAATGCTTCTTACACTCAGGGATTGATAACATCAATTGTATATAATGACTCATAATTAACAAGGTGTTTCACAACATCAAATATACTGAAATGGACATCTTCTCCATCAAATTCCGAAGCGAGGGTGCCCTCCTTTACATCAATCTTTGCACCTGCAGTGCACATAAAAGGTCTGCCTAGCTAGAGAGGTGGTGGGTTAAAGCAGTGTGCATCATGCATATTCAAAATATAAAAGTCGACAGAAAAAATCAAGTCATTCACTTAAACTAGTACATCCTTTACCATACCGTTAGGATAGGCATTAGTTAGATCAGCAAGCTGAATGATAATACCTATTTCTTTTAAGGGTCCTATATTTAGAGAGTTATATAGTGATCATGGCATAACGTTGATAGCGGTGCCTAAGTCCAACATAGCCATAGCAACTTCTATTTTTTGAATTTTGCAAGGGATAGAAAACATACCTGGATCATCTATTTTAGGTGGTACTTTTCTTTTGAGAACAACAGAGACGTTCTCACCCGTTTTAATATGCTCGTCCCCTCACAATTTTTCTCTTGTTGGTGCACAGCTATTTCAAAAACTTCGCATGCTTGGGGATTTGGTTGGTAGCCTCTAGGAGCAGGATATAAGTTCCACCTTCTTGAATATCTCCATCATCTCTTTTCGTTTGTTTGCCTTTTGTGGTTTCTTCAACCTGTCAGGGAAAAGAGACGATTTAGTTTAAGTAGGAGGAATAGAGTTAGGATGTACCTTTTCGTGAAGTCAACTTCTTTTTCAATCTACATTTCAATCAGATCTTCATTTTTTTCCTTTGAGATAAGAGGTGGACCTTCCAATTCTTTCCCACTACGAAGGGTTATAGCACTGACGTTCTTTGGATTTTGTTCTGGTTGCACGGGCCACTTTCCTCTTTCACATAGTTGTTTTACCTCCTATAATACTTGAGTAAACTGACTTTGTAACTTGTCAACAATTGATTTCGTCTCTTGCTGGAAATGGAGGGTAGTGGTAGCCATGGACTTCACCAAGTCTTCCAAAGATGGATTAGTTCCTTGTGGGTGCCTGGGAGGGCTATTTCTCATAAGGACGAGGTTGTTGTATCTGGTGTGTAGCTCCGAATGGTTGAGGACCATGATTCTGCTATGTGTCTCCATAACACTTTCTAGATGATCTCTCCAGCCTGGATTGTAGGTGTTGGAGTATGGATTGTACGCCAAAGGTCTATTCACACCATAGTTTGCAGTGTTCATATCCACTGCATATCCTTCTTGGAGGGGTCGGGCATGCATCTGTAGGATGCCCTGTACTTGTGCATATTCCACACGCCTTGACTTGGACACTCTGGTTAGATTTTTCCACGACCATCTTGCGAACAAAGATCGTCAACTCAAAAAGTTGTTACTGCATCGATTGGATAGAATGGTTGTTATTGTTTCCGCTCGTCTGTCAAACATCCTTCAAACCAAAATGCTGCATGTTTTCAGCCATCTGCACAATAAGATCCCGGGCTTGTGCTG